AAAATGTGTAACAATCTTGTTGGCAAATATCATAAATTGGATACATATTGACTTTTATTTAATTTCTAAATCTAAATTACAATTTAACTCAGTTTTAGGCTATTAGAAATTGCCATACATAACGCTATCATGTCTTAATTCACTTACAGACAGATATTTAAATTTTAGATGTATAATTATGTTCATTTTAGCATTGTACAGGCACATTCCTGATTAATTTTGGAGTTCATACAGAATATAGACCATAGTTAATGAACAATATACTGAACTTTGCTACATGATTATTGAATGAAAACACCAAATATTAATCATTTGCTTCTTGCGTAACCATCAATCTTTGTATGAAATTTGATCAAAATCAGTAGAAAATTTGAGTTATATGAATGCTTGACTTTCAGTTCAGTGTAACCTTATCTTCTGAAATAGTGTCATCAAAATTTAATCATATGGTCCTTAGGAGACATTCAACCGTTCTACCAAAATCAGTTAAAACCTTTTTGGTATTATAGTGTTTGCACACACACAACAGGGAAAACAATACACCTGCCATCGGGAGGGGATAAATATAGCCTTCCCCTCCACAAAAAGTCATTTGGGATAGGGATTCTCAGCCATATTCAAGTTTTGACTCAAGAATAGATGGTCAAATAATAAAATTAAGAACTGATTATTTTTTTGTAATATTATAACATAGCCATAAAAGTTATTTGGAATAAAAATTTACATCCACATTTCAAGCTTTATAGTACAAGATAAGATGTTCTAAGTAAAATACAAGTATCTGATTGCTTTTTCAGAATTTATAACAGTGACTGCTGTCTTCAGTCAAGTTATTTAATTGGAGTTGGAATCCCTAGGTTTGTTGTGATCTAAAGATTGTAGTGTGAAAGCTGAAAAATCAGTTTAATAGATCATGAAAAAGATTAACATGATGAAGCTGTATAGTATTTATGTCTACATATCAAAATACATCTGATGAAAGTGTATAAGAAATATGAAAAGGTATATGGAAAGTATAGAAAGAACAACACAAGTAAGAGAAACATATCTGAGTAGATCTAACTTTAAAAATGTATTAAGCACATTTTGTATCAAGAAGTGTACTACAATGGAAATTCTTCTGGAATCAAAATCTCAATGACATAACTTTTCATTTTTCAACATGTGTATTATAAAATAAAAATAATAAAGTCATGATTTTAGTGGCTTTGTAATTTAAACTCTATTTAAGGTGCCATGTGACAGTATAAAAAAAGGCGATTTATTAAATCTCTTCTTATGCCTTTGGTTCTTATGCATGTTATATCATTTGTAGAAAATGACCCAAAGAAAAAGAGCTGAAAGCATTAAAACATTCAAATAAAACTGAAAGCTAGGCAATGAGTTCTAAAATGAATATGTAAGTGTTGACATCTTTAACTCACCTCTTATTCCAACCATAGCATAGAAGATGCTGGACTTCTTGGAACACGAGTTTTTATTACAAGCCTGGACACTAACTGAATAATTGGTAAAACTCTTTATATTTTCATCTAGAACAATAGAACAGTATTGACTTTCCATACAGTGATCAACCTTTTTGGTATGTTCATTAAACCATACAATGTAATGGTCTAAGATGCCATTTGGTCGTTCTGGTCTTTCCCACTCGAGACTTATAGCTGTGGAATTTGTTGTCCCTTTAAGATTTAAAGGTTTAGTTGGTGCTGGGGGAAAAAAAATGAAATTCATTTCAAAACAGGAAATTACAGATATGATATATATAATATTGAAGGCGACTTTCAATATTAATTTAAACAGATAATGATTTTTATGTTTCATAAGTGTATTTTAGCATACATGTTGGTTTGCCAGTTTTCTTTCATCAAAAAAATAAAATTTACAGATATGAAAAAAATATTTTTTGAAATTGTAGTGCTTATTATAATCTAAGTATATTACAAATTATATTATTTTATGGCTTACACAGATACAAGTTGGCAAAACTATTTTTCTTTAAATAATCATAAAAGCTTATAATATATACAATGGGTATGTACTTTGTTACTGGTTACTTTTTTTTTATAACTAATAACTATCTAAGATCTATTTTATAACCAGTAACAAAGTATGTGTCTGTTGTGTAAACTATATTACTGGTTACACATACATTTACTTTGTTGACTTGACAAGAATGGCATGTGAGTGCACTATTCACCATACAAGTCTTCTAACTATGTCACATCATAGTTTAGGAATTAGGCAGTTAGAGGAATACCTAAAACAGTGATAACTGTTCATCTAAAAAACCCATGCTATGTGCAGCATCAACCATCACTTTAACACAGAAAATTGACATCATAGCATAGCATTTACTTATTTGTCTTTCTGTAGAGAAGATAGAAAGATTAAAAGAAACTTTATTAAATATTAAACATCTTACAACAATAAAAAAAAATACTTACTTCCCATTTTGGTAGTAGCAAGTTCTGTATAACTGAATTCACTTAAGAAGCCATACAAAGTTTCTGTTTGAACTTTGATAGAGTAAGTTGTGAATGGCTGTAGACCACCACTTAGGATCATTTCTTCAGCATAAGGATTGTTTACTTTCACTGATTTATGAGATTCTACAAGACACAAATTAATTATAAAAACTATGTAATTTATATATATATATATAAATCTACTGATTTCCATGAACATTTAAATACACTGTAAAATCTTTAAACTGAGTGAACAAAGATGAAACTGACTTGTGCTTTCTCCTCTAGAGCAAATGATACTATACCTGTCATAATGCACAAAATTATGCCTTCTATGACTAGTGATGAACCACTATAATAACATTAGTACTTCTGATTATATGTCTTTTAATGCATAAGGTAAGTTTCTGATATACAGTTATATAAAATCTTGAAAGAATCAATAACAGAGATACATAAGTTTGTTATTAAAATTATCACACAAAATACATAAAAAATACTTAAAATATCCAACAATAAAATACTTTTCTTTCATGCTCACTGATTTAAAAAAAAATTGTAGATTTACAGTTTGAAAGGCCATTACTTCAAAGTTAGTTAATAGTTTTTTTGGTCCCTTTTTTTTTGGCTAAGAAATTTGTAAAATAGTTAACCAAAGAATTATTACTGTTTCTTATGGGTTTTTTTTAAACTGATCATTCTCTATTCACATTTTAAGAAATGTATATTTTAAAGGTGACGTGAAAAGATAAAATATAAAAATACTCACCGAGACAAATGTGATTTGGTGTTGACTTACAGTAGTACACAATATAGCTATTAATTACTTTTTTCTGAGCTTCACAACTTAAAGTCCATTTTACAATCAGACTGCTCTCAGTGTATGGCTGTACAACAACACTCACTTTGTTTAAAGCTGTAACAACAACATTGATTACATTATATTCTGATAAAACATTTTTGTGTGCATTTTTTCATAAATATAAAATAACTCCTTATTGAATAGTTTGCATTAACTGTCTTAATAACCTGTGCACTTTTATTTCACAATTATTGAAACAATGCCTTACATTAGAAAACAATTTGAAGAGACATTCTCACATAAGGCACGTAACAAGTAATCCATTCAGGGCCATAAGAATTAGTAAGACAGGTCTAAGGAGTTAATGAATATCTAAAAACTCAGGTTTAAGGAGTTAAACCAAGCTTTTTATGGTATTCATGTATATATGAAATGAGGTATTGCTTGGGTCTAAGGAATTAATGAATATCATAAACCTTTGTTTAATATTTCCATATTGACTGATTTGTCGATGTATTCATTAGGCATATTATCTTCTTGAAAGGTTTTTGCATTCTTGAAAAGTGCTCAATTTCTTAACAGTTGGTTTATAAAAGGTATTACCAACTCTGAAGAATTATGAAATGGCTGCTGTCAGAGTGCAGTTTTCACTTGACCATCTTTCATTTATGTAGGTGAGGATTTAAAATGTAATAAAATGCATCTTTTTTGAATGACTAAAGTACTAAGTATTTCTGGAAATGGAGTGGTCAGGCCATTGCTACATTGCCATTTCTAGGAGGGTCTTGGGGCCCCCATAAAATTTTTGGAAATTTAATGATCTGAGATTGAATCTTGAGCCATTTTACTACAAATACTGCATACACACAATGTAATGTATTGAAGTTAAAAGAAGCAGGTTTTAATACATAAGTTGTAGCTATACATGCCATGAAAATATGGTCAGGACATTTCTATAATCACCAGGAAGGTAGTTTATATTTCTTTGGACAAATAAAACAAGTAATAATGATTTCCAAGGAAAATCAGTAGATTCTCTTTGATCCAGGATCAGCAGTTTTCTTGTACGTTTTATATTTGGATGTGATATCTAGAAACTTAAGTCTTACATGGCATAAAGTATTTAATAAATCTAGCATTGATATACAAGATTAACTATTTTTAGACCCATAATGTTTTGCATGTTCTGCTGAATTATTTTCATGATGTTCTAATACTGATCACCATATGTCATAAAAATTTCCAGTATGTTTATAAAAGGTGGATAATAATAATATGGTTTGCATTAGTTTTCAGCCAAAGTGATATAAATGTTATCAGATTCTGTCACTGTCAGTGGGGTAAAAATCCTAATACGCTGATAGCATCTACTCAGGTTTAAGGAGTTAAACCAAATTTTCTATGGTATTCATGTATATATGAAATGAGGTACTGCTAACGCCTGTTTCAACAGTCTGATCATACAGAAATTCATAGGCACTGCATCCAGTGACTTCACTAACATGTATTTATATGGAATAACATTAATATCTGTTTGGTCATTCAGCTAATTGAGATATGTGAAGTTGAATAAGAAATTCAACTTGGAATTCTTATCTTGGTGAAACCATACTCTGTTAGCCTAATTCACTGATGGAGATCCTTCTTGACTGTGTTATATACTGTTATCTTTGGCATGTGGACAGCCTTTGCCACTGCCCATTGATTCTCAACTGTTACAAGACACTGCACCACTTTGCTTACCATGGCTTTGGTATCTCTTTTTGGATGTTTCCGATTTCCCAAGTTGATCCATATTCCTTTGTTTTACAATTCTATTAAATTCAGAGGATATCTCCTTCTTGGAAATACTAAATCCCTGATCTGAACACATCCTCATGATCCAAGTATAGGAATATTTTGTTTCAGAAAGGGCTTTTACACACTTATCAAAAGTGACCAGTTTTTGGTGGGATCACAAAACCTATAAAATGCTAAACAATGTGAAAATGTAGATCCCATACATTCTGTTCCACTGTGATTTTATATCAACTGTGGTTGTCACATGACATACTGATTTGCCTGATGATGATGACTCAAACAAATTTGATCAAAACACGAGGCAAAATATCTTTGTTTTGCAATAATAAATAATGTAGTGTAAAGATAATTAAACCGAAGTTTTGTCTTCAGAGCTAACTATAACCTATACCATTTACTGTAAATGTTGAAGGTTTTGTAAGTTGTGTCTACAGTGATTGCAGAAGTTGGGAAACTGCCCCTCCCCCCATACACGAGGTGAATTATGTAAAGCAATACAAGAAGTGGTGGGCATTGTACATGAAAGCCTTATGACAGAGCATTTTGCAATGGAAACTACACTGCAGGACTATTTTCAAGATACTGGTAACCAGAAAAGCATGACCAGACAGATGTGGCAACATGGAATATAACAATGTAGTTAAGCTCCAAAATAGTTTCAATATAATATTATCAACTCTCTATATGTAATACTAAAATGAATGATTTTACCAAAACAGGATTCTATGCAAGAAAAAAATTTCAAAAGTTGAATACACTTTTCAACCTGCTGATTATGTGGTTTCTGTGATCAGGTGCATTAAAAGTGGATATGGTGCCTTATTTCTTCAATAACACACTTCTTCACACATGCTTACATATATTTGTCTAGATACCTTTTTAAACATTTGACAAATACACACATACTATGATAAAAGTGAAAGTATTAATGGCAGATTTATCTAAATATTTTAAAATAAAACCAAAACAACATACAATCCTTTTCAAATTCAATCACGAGGAACCCACTTTGAGACTAATAATGGTTGGAGACGGCTTAAATGGGTAATGAAGAAAAACTT